TGTACCCGATTTGTTCTTGTGCGAGATGTGACTAATTCATTTATTAATATAAAAAGATGTACCTTGTGAGCTGCAGGCAAGGTGTATTAGTTGCTGCGTAATTGATGTCCCCTTTGATTACTATTCCAATTGGCTTCCCTGTAATCAGCACTAAATCTGCCGATTTCCTTTATTAATGCACATGTGTATTATTAACGTTAATACTGAATATATGGCCACGTGTTGTCTTCACAGTATACTGAAACACTGAGCGGCAATTACACTTGAGTAGGCACGAAGTGAGATTACAATGAGCCTTGTGAATACGCGCACGAACCGAAGGCTTGACCGTTCCGTGACGGCTCTGCTGAAAATACCGGACGTTCCATGGCAGTCCTACTGAGTCCAGATCAAGACCCGTGTGCCATGGCTTCTACTGGTAGATGATTAAATCTGTTCACTATGGTCACTGCGGTCGAGTCACGGCAAGATGTTAGCCGCAAGCGCAGTTGAGCGAGGGTGGTTCGGCAAGAGAGTCAGCTAGCAACCAAGAAGCTTTCAGCAAGAGAGATTTTCAACGAGAGCGCGAGGCGTCCCTTATATAGCCACGCGGCGGCTCACTGAGCTGACAACAAAGCATCGTCGTTGTTGCACAAATTATTACAAGAGGTGTAGAAAGAAAAATCTAGAACCTTCGAGAATGTTCGACAAGAGAAAAGTAGCCGCAATAGCCTTGTGTGATCTTATAGTATATTAGATTACATGTCGTAAAACGTGCTCGGACTTGCCGAGTTTTGTTTATAAACATTCACCCAAGTGCGCGTCCCGGTCCGATCGCGCGTGACGTGCGCCGCACAGCGCGTATGACCTACTTTTTCTTAAATTCATGGAACCGCATCAATCTCGAACAACTATACAGTAAAACAGTTCCGCTAGAATTACGGATATTTTAATTATAATCCAAAAAATTTCTGAATTTTTGTAACTAATAACTAATATCTATCATCAAATAATAATAAATGTATTGTAATTTGTAACTCAAATATTCTGAAAAATTGTCTTCCGTTTTCTATATTATCAGCTATAATTATTATTTATAAAAATATATAACATTTTTTATCAGATTTGTTTAGTACACACAACACTTATTCAGAAATAAAATTCACTTTAAATTTTATCATCAATAAAATAATTCTTTTAACTGTTATTTTTTTTCAAGTTCAATAATATTTCCACCTGTTTTCATTATCTTTTTATTAATATTATTTACAAGTTTTTAATTGTATATTATATGTAAATTCTTTTGTGACTGTCTGGGATCAGACTAAAAGCTTCCCTGAGATGTTGAAGGGAGGCTTGCTGGCAAGTGGAATGGACAATGCAATAATTCAACACTGCCTTTGTATAAGTTGGTTTTCCTTTTATTGAATATAATGATATAATAAATAATCAGTGGTCTATTAAGGTGAGATTGAAAGTAGAATACAATGAATAGGTGAGAGTTTCTTTAGGTAATATGAGTGATAATAATCTTTTAAATGTATTCTTGATGTGGAGCGTGATTGTCCTACTCGTGGTTATGATTCGTAGTGGTAGAGGGAGATGCGCTGATGATGCCGCCGTTGCCTCTACCGATAAGCTGGAGAGGTCTGAGTGTGGTGATGGTGTGACGTCACTGGTGAGGAGGGGCGTTGATGCCGTTGTTTGGGTATTGCTGCTTACTTAGTTCACGGAGCCGTGTGTTAGTGATTCGTAAGAACGTGTGTAATAGCCTCGCTTACGTGTGTGGAGTCGATCTCAGTTGTATTGATGGTACGTAAGGACGTGTGTAATAGTGTAGCTTACGTGTGTGGATGTCGATCCTTGTGTATTGAAGGTGATCTCTATGTAAGTGGTGTTTGACTTGTAGGACGGCGATCCGATTTTAATGACTGCTTGATTGAACTAGTAAGAGGACGAGGGAGTTAAGTACAGCTCCTTAAATGTTCTCGTACGAACTTGCTGCGCCGATAGCGCATCGATGGCTGTTGCTATGCCGATATTTGTCGTGACGTCAACAGGGCATAGTCTTGTAGGGTTCATTTGTTATTACTTTTCGAAATTATAGTCGTATATTCGAGTTTTTTGGTTCGAAGCATTCTTCGAGTCTGTTTGCCATTTGTTTATAAAACAAATGTTCGCGCGCTCATACCTCTCCCACATTTATTTCGCTTAAAACTGCTGCAATCCGTAACAGTGACTTTCAGTTCTTTCATAACTTTTTTATTGCAAGTCTTCTAACTTCTATTAGCATTAACTAAAACTTGCTCTTCTTATATTATGAGCGAGGTCTAACACATATATTTATCAAAAAATACAGTTTGTTGAGATAAGCGTCTGCACTACATTTCTTTGGTGCCTAAAAGGAACGTTGTATTAAAAAATATAATCAGTACCTATAAATGATATATATTTATATCAGAAAAATGAAAACGTATGATAAAGTATACAAATAAAACTGCAAAAACATAAAACAAAAAATTATCAACAAATGCATGAATATAAAATGGATTTAATAATTTTAATCAATTATTAAATCATCAGAGAGTGAATAAATAATCTAATATGACTACTGAAAAATGAAAAAATTATTTAATTAGATATAATTTCATGTATTACAATAAATTTAATAATCACAAAAAATATATGAACATTATAATGCTATGCATAAAAAAATTTCATTATTGCTTTTCAAACTCAGAACGTTTAGTATTATAATTATGTAAATATTATATGTAATATAAATCTAGCAATATATAAAAGGATCTAATACCACAAACCAGATTTTAAGTTAAAAACTCGATATAATTTCTTTTTAAAATTATCCCGTGATATTAATTCTATATGTTCAAACTGTAAAAAGTATATAACCGAATACAAAAAAGCAGAAATTTTTAGATAGGAGATACTAATCTTTGAAAAATAATCACACAAGTAAACAAATCCATGAAGACAATTATCGGATAAAAATATAAAAATTGTTATATATAAATATAGTGAATCAGATTATTCATTTAATAACTTCATTATTATTATATGTGCATTTCACTATTAAAACTCATATAGGATGTATTGTCTTTAAATGCAAAATATGCAATTATATGCTCACACCTATATATATATATATATATATATATATATATACCTCTCTAGCATCAAGGCTCTCGGTAAGACGAATACTATAAGGTGTATCAGGGATCTTGAGGACAGGTGTTTCTTTATTTGGATCACGTTGTAATGAAAATGACAGAACTTGAAGTATATCAAGCATACACCAAAGTACACGACAGTTCCATAACAGATGAGGAAAAGCATCTACTAAGTCAGTAAGATATCTAACGGCAACTCGTCTTATTTGTTTATGTACATTATTAAAATAAACAAGCAGAAATTGGGCATGTTTTTCAAGTTCACGCTCTCGTTGCTCATGCTTAAGTTTATTTTGCATTACATTTTTAAACTTAAAAAATACAGAATCACCCACGCTAGATATACATTGCCACATTCCATTTTTATCCTTTTGAAGTTCGGTATCACTTAAATATTCCATTATCGGCTCAAGGCTTGGTTCCGGACTATTCGTTATTCTGAGTGTTTCTAGCCAATATACAGATAACAAATACGTACACTGAGCAAACTGAAGCTTTGCTACATAAGCAGCTATTTCATTAGATCTAAAAGAATATATAATTTTCTTTAGTAAATAATAAAATATAGATAAGTTATTAATATTAAAAAAAATAATAAATAAAATGTATTACAGTGTAAGAAAATTAACATTTTTTGCCTTATATAAGTTAATTATTTTCCAGTAAAATTTATATTTGTTCGATAGCTTTATAATAATTTTCCATCCGCTCCATTGGATGCTTGGAAAGGACTTAAGTGGAAGGGCTGTAGGGATATACAGTGGGCGCTTCTTCATTAAATATGGTTTATTATTGTATATTTACAATTACATTATTGAAGTATTCGATTTATGTGATGGAAGTGATTATATTATGTTCAATCACAACGATTCAGTTACTTGGAATTGATCTTGTAGTGAATAGTTTACCAACACGACATGTTCCTTGTTGATGGTGATGATGTTGTTGATCTTGCAAGGATCAGCAACTGATTATGCACACTCCTTGATAGGGATTATGTCTTATGTTATGTTAATAATAGCGTCCTGCTACTCTTGTAAAGAATAGCAATGAATATGCCTTAGACTTGTTTTACATAGTAATACAGTAGCCTTGACCTGATCTTGCGATGACTGTTTTACCATCACGAATGCACCTTGATCTTGGTGATGATTTGTGACTGATTTTGCAAGGATCAGCTATGAATTGTGTCAATTCCTTGATATGGAGTATGTTTGTCATTGTTTGGAAAATAATCCCACAATTTGACTGATGTATATGCTGTTTATTCTGTTATTTATTGATGACAAGGTTGACTAGTATTACTATTATTAATTATTGACATACCTCTGGGGTGGATTAATGTGTTCTCATCTACGCAGCGTGATGGTTTAAATATGAGCGCAGAATGGAGCGAAGTTTGATTCGTCGACACTCGCGCTGTTTGAATGAGCACATGCGTAATTGAGGTTATGGTTGTTGTGTAGCGTGACACATGTAACTGTAGGTGCGCGAGAGATATACTCGTATCGTAGCAAACGTACCTTGTATTGATATTGGCGTACTGCAATAAATTCAGATGGAAGTAAGAGTTTGAAAGGCTTTTACCTCATGAAGAATACTGCTACTTGTTGTGTCTTCTGCAAGCGTTGAATAGCAAGCTGTGGATTCATAAGCTTCAGACCTTCCACTAAGATGAGGATAAAGGCCGGCAAGTCTCGCATCAATGATGCGACCTTGACGAGCTTGGAATTATTCCGAATTGCCTCTCTGGTGAGAGCCTCTTCTTCGTGATTGATTGTCGATGACGTATTCTGAATCCTAAGTTTTATTTAATTATTGTAGTGCTGAGACTACTTACGAAAACTAATTGTTGACTCGTCTTCGGACTTCGATAGGCGGATTGTCATCGCTCCCTTTGAACTTGTAACGACGGTTTCTTGAACTGCGTTAATGGACATACGGGAATATTTCGTCGTTTTTCTGGGACGTGTAACTACTGTTGTCTTGAACAGCGTTAGTGGACAAACCGATTAGTGGAAGTCGTCGCTCCCTTAAACATGTAACGACGGTTTCTTGAACTGTGTTAGTGGACATACGTGTAACTATTGTTGCCTTGAATAGCGCTAATGGACTTTCACTTGACACTTATTTGAATAAGAACTATATCGAGAGTGTTTGAATCTTGAGAAATGCACCCCTCAAATACATTTGCTGACCATGAACTTCACTTGAACCCCTTCCCTTAATTTTCGTCCAATTAGAGACTCCTTCCTTACAGAGCGATGGCAGCGCCTCTTGTGGTTTCATAGTTAATTAAGGGCGTAGTCGTCTCTTGGTCTTCATGGCAAGAAGAGGTCTCGTTGCCGCTGACGCATCTGGCGACAGCATGACAGCTTGTAGACAGCGGATGGGGGGGGGGGCGCTCGCACATAATGCTTGAAGTAATTACCGAGCGGAACGAATTCGTACAGATGCCTAACTAAATAGGTTTTCCCGTGTTTATTGCATTGTGTTCGGAACTGTGAGAAGTATTTGGAAGGAGGTTGATCTTGGGTCGCACAATAGATTATGCACGCCTTCATTTCCACTTCCTTCCGGGCTCAGTTCCGAATTTGCTAATCGGGAAAGTGTCGGAAGATGGCGAGCCTTTTCCATTGGTTGCCTCATCCTTCTCTGGGACTTGGCTAGAAGAAGGGTCCGCTTGGGCGTGGTCAATTTTCCAATACGATCGACCAGATGTGGCATAGCCAAGAACAATGCAAGCATTGTCTTAAAGGCCGAGTGCGCATGTATGGTCATTGCATGTTGTTGCTCGTACGGATTTTGGGTTGCAATAAATATTTGTACTCAATGCTTTACGCATATCTGATATTCGTTCTGAATCTACTTTGGGGTTCTCGCGGCAGTAAACCCATTAGGTTCTACTGCACTGGCAGTATGAGCACGTTCCGCTAGAGTTTTCCAGATGTTTTATGACACTAGTACACATAATTATGAGCTGGAAAGTTTTGAAGTCTTAAATACAGTTTTCATGATATTACTTGTCAGATATTTTATTGCCTTACTAAACGGAGTCTTTCATTCTCAAACAGTCATGTTCTTGATATGAAGAAGATAGTGTCAATATCATGTAGCACAAGAGAACATACGCGTTTTCCTTCTATGGTGATCTTACTTTGAGAGAACTTGTTCTCTATGGCGGCCCCAGTAAGAGCAAGCGTTTGCTCGAAGCGCGCTTGCCTTAAATATCCACACAACAGCCTAGCTAATACTGATAACAATGAATGCATTTGTGGTGCTATAAAGGGACCGTGAAAAAATACTTAGCGTTTTTTCCAGGAATTATAACGATTGGGAAATTCCCGAAATCTAAATACTCGAGATTCTCGGTATCTCGATTAATGATAATAAAAAGTAATATTTTTTATACATATTTTTAAAATAAATAACGTTATATTATTCTTTTCATTGAAAACTACAATAAGAAAATAATTTTTTTAAATCAATAAAATCCGATAAAATAAATACTTAATAAAATATGTTTTCTTATATAGCTGTGTTTAGTATTAGACTATAGCCACCAGTTGCCTGATGTGAGATAAGTGTGGGCAAGTAGAAAGGTTAGCGCTTGAATTCAGTATTTAACAAGTCTGCTTTACATACTTGGCGTTTCGTTTATTTTACTACTACAATATAATGATTCAACGTTGATAATAAGAATCGGTGAGATCTTGCCGTTTCTTGTTTGTTGCCACGTGGTGTAAGCATTCACTACATGTAGAGGGAGAAGGTCGTAAAACTCCGGATCCTCTTGATGCAGTACACTTAGTGGTGAAATACTACACAGAAACTGAGAGGTTGTAAGGGTCTTGACACTTGTTCGTGTAGAGCCACGTGGTAGTAACTAGATTGCTTGTCTCCTTCAAGCTGACTTGTGGTGTGGAGAAATGAGGAGGACCTTCCATAGCGGCTTTGCAGAGAGTGTGTGCAATGGCTGCACTAGTATTGGAAAGGGTTGCGACTGCTTCCTTGACTCGGTTTGGTTGACTGGCTCATGACTGAGTACCATGATCTCATGGTGCGCTTGCCTTAATTATCTACGCGGCTCCTTTGCTAGCTGAAGATAAAGGACCGATCATAGCGCTAGAACAATGGAGGTGATTGTGCACTCATTTCGGATGTACCGGCTTTTCTGAAAATTTTCTTAGAAGTTATGACTGTTGAATTATTTCCTCGAAATGATAACCGTTGAAGTTTTTGTTTGAAATGATAGCCGGTGGGATTTTCCCCCAAAAGATAACATTCGAGAGATTCTCTGAATCTCGGATAAATGTTAATAAATTTTTTTACATCATTGAACAAAACCATTGTATTGAAATGTCCAAAATTATATTTTGAAAATTTTAACTGACGAGTATACGTACCTATTATTCATCTGCAGTATCTGATCTTTCAATTCCTGCAACTTATTTATTGATACACAATCGTTACGAACTGCAGGTGTATACAATAGTTCTCGCATTTCAATGCGTGTATTAGTATTGGGTGAAATTAAGTAGGGTGATTTCACAGCTATCTCTTTAACACCCTCGTGCCAATCAACTGGCCATAGATGGGACTTAGAGTTTGATGCAAAACCTAGTACAACGCAGTATAACCAAAAGTCTTTAAAAAGTTTAAATACACGCGGATGTGGATGACGAATTGGTGGTAATCGACGTACAAGTATTGCAATCACAGGTATTAAAACACCTAAACTGCCTTCGTTATTACGTAATACCTGAAAAAATATGTACAGTAATAATATATAAATATTGTTATATGTATAAATATAATATATAAAAACAATAAATATTTACAGTATTCTTATAGCCAATAATTTATTAAATTTTTCAGTAAAAAAATGTAAAATGGCTAATAAGAAATTTTGTTAAACAATATAAAAAATACTTTCCTTGAAACATATGACATAAAATATAACATTATTATTTATTTATAAATAGTAATTAATCAGTAATAACTTAAGCAGTTACTATTGATTTATTGTAAAGTAAAACAAAAATAAACAAAAAATTAATAAAATTAGAAAGAGCTATATTTTACATAAATTTGAAGTATCTTATAAATGTATAATTAAATTTCTTATATTTCATATAATTTAAATATATATATATATAGTATGTATATATGAGTGTAGTATGTATAATTAATTTTTATTTAATTCACAATAATGGTTTCAAATCTATTTAATATTCGATATTATAATACGAATTCATTTGAAAACCAATATATTAAATACATTATATTGTTACTTAAATTGATTGTTAATTTACGTAAACATAATTAGTCTTGGTTTAACTTACATAGTAATATTTATGCATCTGCCACAAATTATATGACAATTTTATAATATGAATGTTAACATTATTAAAAATCCATATATACTTTTTTATTTAATTGTATAATAACCAATGAAACAAAACAGTATTTTATTAAAAATATAAATTATAGCAGGATCAGTTTTGAAAATCATTATTTTTTTTATTATGAAATTATCGGTAAAAATATTAAAAACTGATATTTTATTTTTAGTGTTAAAAATTTATAAAAATTATTGAGATAAAATTTTAATTGATATTCGCCAAATTTACGTGAAACTTACCATGGTGCTATTATTACTAATTTTATCAGATATTCGCTTATCCTCTAGACCAAGCTGGACAAATAACTCTAATAATCTAAGTAACAATTTATTAAGTTCAATTTCTCCTTCTAGATTTGCAGCAATATTTGCAAGAGCATTAGTTACAGCTCCACATACATGACTATACTGCTTACGATCATCGTTAGAAGCAAAAGTTAATGAAAACATTTGCATTATCTCCTCATGTACCTGTTTTTTTAAACCAATAGCTGTATATATTAATTTATGTATTGATTGTGTAATTGGTATTATATTATTCAAATTAAAAATAGAATATTTTAACAGAATTATTCCAAATTAATGAAATTATTAATAATTTAAATAATTTACAACTGTATTAAAAAAATAAGTAAGTAGTATGGTTGTGAGATCTGAAAAATCAGAATAACCAAATATTACAAAGACAACATTGTTCATTTTAAATTAAAAGAATTTAGGTCTCAAGCGCGTTAATTCAAAGAAAAGATAGTTTAATATAAGATAAATGTAAGAATATAGATTTCATTGCGAATAGATGAAATGTTTACAATACATTCGGTTTACAATGTTTACAAAACATCTGGAAAAACAATACAATAAACACGGATAAACCCACTCAGTGAAGCATATGCACGAATTCGCCCTGCTCGGTAATTAGTTCAGGCATTATGTCTAGCGGACCTATGCCCCCCTTTACGGTTGTCGACAAGTTGTCACGTTATCGCCAGATGCGTCATCGGCAACGAGAGCTGTTCTTGCCATGAAGACCAAGAGACGACTAGGCCCTTAACTAACTATGAGACCACAAGAGGCGCTGCCCTTGCTCTGTAAGGGAGGAGTCTCTGATTGGACGAAAAATAAAGGAAGGGATTCAAGTGAAATTCATGGTCAGCAAATGTATTTAAGGGGCGCATTTTTCACACTTGATATACCTCTTGATATAACACTCGATATAGAACACTTTTGATATACCTCTCGTGATACTCTCGATATAACATTTAATACAGTACTTATTCAAATAAGTGAAGTGGAAGTCCATTACCGCTGTCAAGGGAACAGTGCTTATACGTCCTGCGCCGTTCTACATTCACATTCAAACAATCAAGCTGCATAGACGAGTATACGTTTGCCACCGCAAACACATCACTTCAATCCAAGAATTATTTCAATAATTAATAATAGTAAATCAATAAATAACAGAATAAACAGCATACATCAGCTATATTTATATTGTATTATTATAATATCCCTTCCACTTGTGACCTTTCATCGCTACCACACAACACCCGTGGTAACAGAGTTGTCAACGGCATCAATTTGTATCCTTCGAGCCGGCCTTGGTAAAACAAGCCGGAACGGCGAATATATTTTGTACAGCTTGAGATTCACACCATAAAGTAAAAGGTCTCAATTATATAAATTAAGTTTCTACAGAAATTATACGCTTAGTATTGTAAAAAATGGAAAAGAAATATAATCTATTAAATATGAATGTTATTAAAATTAAAGTTGGTTAATGTATGTATCCCATTTATTGTTTATTCTCTTATACTACATCACCGTTAAAAAATGGCAAACCTCGGGAAGAAGAAAACAATGGAAACTACAAATGCTGTAGTGTCTATTACACTAAAAAGGGTAAAACGCATTACCCGCAGTGTGGCTACAGAGCGTTTACCCACTGAGCTTCTGAGAGCCTGAAGACAGTGAAATCGTATTACAGAAATAAAGGAGTTAACTAAAGAGCTCCCTTCATCTCAGTTAGACAAATCCATTGAAGAAGTCCTAGGCCAAAAGGAACTAGTTGAAGACCTACGGAAGGCCTTCCACAAGAAGCACAACTATCTTGAGGTAACATGGCCGACAGCGTTAAAAAATAATGAATACTTCATGAAAGACACGCTAGGGGAAGCAATACTTTTATGTGTGATCATTAATCAGCATGGCCATATCTCAGAAACCTAACACTAGCCAATTCCCAATATCTTGCATCAAGACCATTAAGTCCGATATCATCAATTATTCTCCATCCATGCCAATAACGAAGAATAATTATTGACTTAATTTTGGGTGCACGAAGAAGTGCCTCAAGGGTAACGATCATCAATACACACCTGATGAGCATTGGCGTGAGAGTCATTAAAAAAAAAAACTCATTCATGTGACTGAATAAGGAGATACATAGTCCGGATCCTACTCAAAGCATCTGCTGAGGCCCTCGGCCATTATCACAACACTGCCCATTGGTGTCTGCAAAAGTTAATAAGATGATTCTAAAGAGACGAAAATTATCGTCAACACTATCAGCAATTCATAACAGAATATGAGGAACTTAAGCACATGAAGAGAGCTTCTCCAGTATCTCATCATCAAATTCAATACTATCTATCTTATCACGGCATACATTAACCACATAACACTACGACAAGGTTAAGAGTTGTATTCAACGGCTACAGCGCATCGACATCAGGACATTCTATCAATGATCTTATGCACACTGGAGCTAATTTAAACCCAGAAATTTCAGGCGTGTTAATCTGGATACGTCGACATTGAGATCTGTTCGCCGCAGACATCACAAAAATGTACAGGCAGACACGAATTCACAAGAACGACTGGAACCTACAAAGAATCTTTTGGATCGATAAACAAAACAAGGAAATGCCATATCATCTGATCACTGTTACCTATGGCACGAGAGCCGCCCCATTCGTCGCATTCAAAACATTGCTGAATCTGATAAAAGACGAGGGAGAAAAATACCGTCGTGCACTACCATCCATCACTCATGGCGGATATGTAGATTACATACTTGGAAGTGTGGACACGGCGCAACAGTTAACCGAAACCGCAGTACAACTGCAGAACCTCTGCATGGCGGGCGGTTTCCCATTGGTAAAATAGCACTCAACTCATCGAGAGATCCTCACCGCTATTAACGTAGTCAGGCAATCAGAATCAATCAGAGTCAATTGCATTTGACGATTGAACAAAAATTCTCGGATTACAATGGAGTCCTGTACTACCTTTTCAACAACAATCTGAGTTGAAACTGACCGCATCACCAAATGGCTCAGATCCAGGCTCTCTCACTAGAGCCGTCTCAAAAGGAACATGCTTTCAGTTTCGTATGCGTATTCATCAAGATAACCGGCAGTGAAAAGGTGTTGGAATAATAAATCAATGGCATAATAATAATGTAAAATTCAGTCTGGAATTATTCAAGTGAGATAGTAGCAACCGTTACAAATTAAGGTTGACTCTGACTCCCACGTATAGTGTCCGAGTGCACGAAGTGATAGGGAGAGATCAGCATTTTGTTTCCACAACTAAGGACTAACTCTGACCCCCACGTATAGTGCACAAGTACACGAAGTAGCATCAGGGAGAGATCAGCAAGTTTTGCTTCCACGAGTAGGTGCAAACAAACCTTATTCAATGCCACATCAACGGCGGAATTGTATAGTGTTTTTGACAACTCACAATATACCTTGCCGTCCACAACTCAATAGTACTACAATTGCGTCTGAGTGCTTCAAGAATGAAGTAGCCCCCTTCAAGCGGATCGCCATGACGAAGGTTGAAGAAGGCGGTTGGTTTGCTGTTGTCAAAACTCATTATGTCAGAACCACACCGAAAGTGAAGGTAAAGGCAATATACTTGTGGACGGATTCTCGGGTAACACTCACATGGATCAAGTCTCACGCATCGACCTGGCAAGACTGTGAGAAACAAGGTCACTCACGCTCTCTTAGTCGGGACACCAAGGAATTACGTTACCGGTATGTCCAACCCTTCAGCTCCAAGATCATGCACTATGGTGGACAGGATCAACATGGATACACCCTCCCGAGTCATGGTTAACTCAGCTATCCTGGCATCTTATTAGCATTTGTATAAGTTGATTTTCCTTTTATTGAATATAATGATATAATAAATAATCAGTGCTCTATTGAGGTGAGATTGAATGAATGATACAATGAATATGTGAGAGTTTCTTCAAGTAGTTACCGATTGCCGCTACCGATAAGCTGCAGAGGCCTGAGTGGGGCGCTGGTGCGTGACGTCACTAGTGAGGAGAATTGATGCCGCCGTTGCCGCTACCGATAAGCTGGAGAGGCCTGACTGGGGCGCTGGTGCGTGACGTCACTAGTGAGGAGAATTGATGCCGCCGTTGCCGCTACCGATAAGCTGGAGAGGCCTGACTGGGGCGCTGGTGCGTGACGTCACTGGTGAGAATTGATGCCGCCGTGGTGGCATTGATGTGTGACGTCACTGATAAAGGGCAATGATGATGCCGTGGTTTAGGTATTGCTGCTTACTTAACTCACAGAGCCGTGTGTTAGTAATTCGGAAGAAGGCGTACAAAAATTTGGTTAAAAATGCTGCAATCCGTAACACGGGCGTTGTTCGGGATTGAAGCAGTTGAAAGCGAAATACAAAAGTGAAAAAGCTATAAGCTCCGGGGCATTTACGTTTATAAACACAAGTCATCGAATTCGGGAAATTTTCTACGCTGAAAACTCGAATATACGATTATAATTCCGAATAGCAATGCCGATGAACCTACCAAGGCTACATCCTACTTACGTCGCGACAAAGATCAGCAGCTCTTACGAGAATATTTAAGAGCAGCGCTTGATGCACATCTTTCTTATGCTAGTACTAATCACACAGTTTCTACGACGGGCTCACTTTCAAGCATTACCACTACAGGCATCATTCACTGTAGCAATTCACGTACGTAAGCATCAAACAACCCAATAGTGACGCCACACCATTAAATCCGTTAAACTTAAACTTAAACTTATATTCCAGAAGCGCCAGTGCAAACATAAATTAAGAGTGAAATTAACGAAACTACAACTACAACATAAAACAACGTATCGCAACCTAGGTACAACTATCGACGGATGTCACACCTACGTAAGCAGCAACGGCAACACTCACGCTCCTACACCACACCAATACCGGCGGACCTCACGCCTACGTAAGCAGCAACGGAAACACGCATGTTCGTTACAACCACACCAACAGCGGCGGCGCTCAAGCTCACACCGGCGGTTAAGGCAGCATCGTCTCACTTGCTCCTTTAGTACGTGCCGGTTACAACAGCGACACTTCTCGTGAAAGGAAGGAGTCACTCCTCACACTAACGAGAGTATACACACCAGCACGTAAAATAATTGAAGAAACTTAATCAAATAATT